AGAGAGAGAGAGAGAGATGTGCTCGACTTTACACACACAAATCCTGGTATCCTAGCAAACTGTCGGTTCAAGCACCGGACAAGAATGGCAGTAAGTCCGAGAAACTACTGGAAAGGAGCCAGGACCATAAGGCCATGTTATTTAAAAAAAAAAAAAAAAAAAAAAAAAGAACGTACTGTCATTTTCGCTGCATCTGGACTGAACACTGGGCCAAATGATATTCAGGGGAAAATGGCAGTCTGTCACAGCCATAAAACGCACTCTACACACCCACTCAGTCAGGGATATCCACCCCCATAACCACTAGTACTGTCCCAACCCTAACTCCACTGAACCACCCTAACGGAGAGTTAAGCAACACTGTGTTCAGTGTGTGTTGTCATGCGTCGCTATAAGCAACTCCACAAAAAAGCATGACTGTGCCAGACTGTTCCGTTGGACTTTCACCGACTCATCAGGAGGTTGAATGAACCTGGACCGACAGTCTGCCCAGGATGCATGTCACTGATGGATAAGAAGGACTCACCACGTCGCCCAGAGCTAGCGATACCCATCCTTGAGAGGAAAAGTTGTCGGAATGGCAATCAAAGCACCACTACCTTTTCCCATGTCGGCCTCGGGTGGGCCTTCAAAATCTTCTAGGATGGGGAAACGAAACGACGGCCGCCGATGAGATTTATCAACGGCGGGCATCACCGGGCCCAACCCCCATTTTTTTAGGAGTAGGATATTTTGAATTAGTTTCCCGTTTTCCCAACTGCGGGAAAGGTAGTGGTGGTTTAAATATGGACTTCATTAATGCTGTTAAACAGAGACATTCACATGACCATGATAATCTTTATTCTGTCTGGTCATCTGATTGTATCTGGACTCGAACCTGAGTATGTTCGTCCGCGTACCAAGAGGTCAAAACCGTCGAACAGATCACACCGTGTGGTGCTCACAGAAAGTTTGAAAACAGAATAAGGATGTAGATGATGTTGAGTAATCAGGAAGTCTGTAATTAAGACTAGCTAAGTGCCCACGGTGCGGGCGGTGCGGGCTACGCCCACAGAAATAACAAATGCAGTGGGTGACCTCACACTGCATTTTGGATGACTCGCCTCCAAGATGTTCGTCCGCAGAAACAACGACGGCCTACCACGGGGTGCAAAACGACAGCCGCACGAGAAATGAAAAAGAAGGAAGGAAAAGAAAAAAAAAGAAAAAAAAGGGGGGACACAAAACGACAGGCGCGAAAAAAAAAAAGGGGGAGAAGGGGGACACAAAATGACGGCCAACCGGGGAAAACAAACAAAAAAAAAAGCCCGCATATCGGATGGCTCGCCTCCAAGATGTTCGTCCGCATCAACGCCAGCCGTGTGCCCCGCCCCCGGGGTGCGCGCTCTCGTTTTAATGGCGCGCTGTGAACATTTCGGTACGCGCACCCCTCTGCACACTCCCCCGCCGTCGATCGCCTTCATCCGCCGCCCCTCACCAAACTTCGACCCGAATCCGGCGCACAGCGTGTCATGGACCTCCCCCCCGCGGCCAATGCTGCTTAAGGGACAGGAAAAGTTGAAACCCCCTTTTTTTTTTTTTTCCAACGACGATGGCCTTGAGATACCATCATTGAGCTGACCGGCCCTAGGTAATTCAGAAGTACCGTTTTATAATCTGACTGCATCAGGATTCGAACTTGGGTCTGTATTTCAACAGTTCATGCGTGTACCAACTGAGCTAGGCCCGTTGGTACATGTAATTGTAAAAACTACTACATTTGTGAGCTAAAAAGATCATGGCAGATGCCAAGGATATATAATATATATCACTCTAATACGAACCCGGGGGATATCACTCTAATACGAACCCGGGATAGCAAGGTATCTTTCCCCCCCCCCTCCATTTGCTTCCCTCTGCTCCCCCCTCATCACCGATGAAGGGGTGGCAATGGCTACACTTGGTGTATCTGAGGAAATACAAAGAAATGAAAGAGAGAAAAGCCTTTTAATTAGTGGACAACAGAGGAACGTTGCAAGTTATTGGCGGTGGTTCTTCCCCCTCTGCCCCAAGTCCTCTCCCAATCTTCCCCCCTTTCCCCCCCCCAGCCCCCTTTTTCCCCACACACATTTCCCACCCGCATTCCACACACACAATTCCCACCCGCATTCCCACACATAGTTCCCAATCACATTACACCCACATTATCTGCCTAACAATTTCCCCTCCTGGCTGGAAAAGTGACGATAACATATTATGATATTAACAATAGTTGTCCGTCGCCAAGGCAGACCACCACACATAGCGACTGACTTAGAAATGCGTAACAAGTACTAACAAGTTAACAACATACCTGAGTTGATTTAAAAAAAAAAAAAAAAAAGAAGAAGTACTAACACATACCTGAGTAGTGAGTTGATAAAAAAAAAAAAAAAACATACCTGAGTTGATGCTAGATGTGGAGTTGTCACCATAACTGGTCCACCTGACTGTAAGACACTCCAGTCCTTGTCTAGCCATTCCCAAACAAATCCAGCCCTGGACAAAATTTCCAGTTCCAATGATTTTCGACCGGGACTCCTGTGCTGCGAAAGCTCTTTCCACCACCACCACAATCGCTGGGCATCTCTCATGCTCCCCCTGCAGAGCTTGCCTCTGCTTCCAGCTTTCCTAAAGTGGAAGGGTGCCAGCTTGGAAGACAACTGTGGTTGTCCTGCTGCTGTTGGAGCTCTGCTATACTCATCCTTGATTCCCGAGTTCTCGTGCAGATGACCATCTTCGCGAACACTGTTTCCGCATCGCGCCCAGCGAACGGTGGTTGCAGTAGTGTTGGGGACACTAGTCACATGAAGCCGCCGACCCCGATGATCCTTTCCTGATCGACTGGTTGGGGGAATCACGGCAGTTTGCACACGCACTGGCCCGTCAAACTCGATCGAGCTCGCAAAGCGTGTTGCTTGCAATCCAGTTCGACAATGGTCTTTGACTTTATCCTCCTTGTTGGCGACGCGGCGAGTAGATTTGGAAAGAGAGTCGACTCCCCTCCATGCTCCCGATAGGGTCTGCCGCAAAACTGTTTCCCCATCAGGCGTCGACTGACGAACATGCACCTTGATTGCAGATGACGAGACTGCCAGATCAGGCGCAACACTGACGGCTGCATTTCCATCAACGGTCAATGTGGATGTTGCCGGGTTCCAATCCTGCGTGTGGCAAGGTGAGAGACCACGAGAGATAAAGGAAAGCAAAAAAACAATCCGCAAACATGATTGCTGGATCAGGATTCGAACTCTCAGCTCTATCAGGGTTCTGGATGGACTCCTCAAAAACGTTTAGAGCCCAAGCTTCAGATATCTAAACGCCACACCGCCACACACACACACACACACACACACACACACACACACACACACACACACACACACACAGAGAGAGAGAGAGAGAGAGAGAGAGAGAGAGAGAGAGAGAGAGAGAGAGAGAGAGAGAGAGAGAGAGAGAGAAAGAGACGAACACCAGTCGGACAGTCAGGCACCAACCATCTGCAGTGCAGTTTGGGAAGTTCACTCTTATGGTCATATACTCACAAAAGGAATTTGCTGACAAACTCAGACAGAATTTGCCTGTAAAGTATGTGGTCAGATGGATACAGGACATTCCTTAAGTGACTATATACCTGGGTTACCATCTGGGCTTCAGATTCAAAGATATTCAAAACCAGGGCTGCCAACATAGTTGTCTTGAGAGCTCCAAGAGCTGCATGTACATCCTTGCTGGGCAGGTCCTTACGCTGAAGCTGCGAGTCAAGGGTGCAACAATCTTCACATAGTCTTACATGAATCACTAATAGCAGCCCACCAAACCAAGGAAATGACGCGCATTCGAAATGTTGGCAGGCTCAAGCCAATCCTGAATAGCCTATACATCTTCTCCTCGAGAGGATGGATGCCCCAAAGCGTAACAAATGGCACAAGTACTCCAGCTCCCGCCTGGGAAACTCTCGCACTTATTGTGGGTTGCTTTGTACTTGACCTGGCGAGGTCGCTGCAACACTCCGTGTCAGCGCTCCTCCAACCTCCGATTGTAAACTAAAATATAGTAAAAATAAAAATAAAAATAAAATAGAAACGACACGATCTGACATGGCGTGGAACTCGTATCTCATCACAACCTTGAACGTCGTTGGGGCATTTATCTGGATTTGTAATTTTGTACCATCTGTGCAACCAAATTTGGATCTTCCTGGGAACTTGACTTCAAGTCCAACTTGGACACGTAAAGGGGTCGGCCCCCAACCATTCAAGGAGATCATCGACGCACAGAAGCGCACACATTTTTTATCGTATGAGCATTGAGTTGGCAGTAATCGATGCCGAGCTGTACATCCTTGTTCTTCTTCCAAACAAAGAGAAGAGGTGAATTGTATTGCTAAAGATCACCCATCCCTTAGCAAGCAAATAGTCGAATTGAGCTCGAGGAACCTTAAGCTCCTCGATAGTCAGACGATAAATCTATTCTTTCCATACGGGTGGCCGGCCACAAAGAGGGATGGCATGCATAATGGTGCCGTCCTCTATAACTCCTCAACGGGACCGGAACACGTCCGTAAACGATTCTAAGGTTCGCAACACTCGAGGATCCGCAGAAGCGTCCAAACTCTAACACTCCGATGTTGAAATCGTGTGGAGAGAACATACCAATCTCGATGGCATGCTCGCTTACACACGTTGTATAAAAGACCGTGGCCAAAATCAAGTGGCAAAATACGAAGGATGAAGGGACTTAGGGGAGGCACACTGCATGAAACGGACTTGTCGAACACAGCGTGTATGATCCTCTTAATCTCGCTGTGTGCTGGGACACCTCGGAAAGTACGAAGTACGAAGTCCTTTTCCCTTAGATTTCTAAGCGAATGCCATACATTGGGACAAGTAGGTTATCAGCAGGAAAACACAAAAAAGTGCGGCTGCTCGCCCCTGCCAGCTACCGCCGAGCTGTTTGGGACCCTCAGAGCAGTGCTGCACACCCCGACCGTGGGCGACCCTTGACTGGTCGGCTGCCTACCCGCCGACCGGTCAGCTGGTCGGCACCTACCGGTTGGGGGTCATCGGCATCCCGCAAAAAAAAATAA